AAAAAAAAAAAAAAAAAAAAAAAAAAAACAGAAAAAGACAAAGCATTCGAATATTTCTTGATTCTTCCGCACAAAATTTGCATTTTTTTACGCTTGTTATACTTTTTTTTTTCCAAATCAGGAGACCGTCTTTTTCAAAGAAAAGAACCGAACAAAAGAAAAACGAAAAATTATTAAAATAAGCACACAGTATTCAGCTGCAAAAATGCAAGAAATGTTCAGTGCTTTATCAGTTTTAAAGCTTATCGCAAACTCTGATACTGAAGAGTGTGCATTACTGAATGATGTCCTGCTGGTCTTCTCTGTCTACCGTTTTTCTCCTTCTTCTATTTAACCCGGCGTTAACTCGCGAGTACTTAGGTGAACCTTTCAGCCCCAAAATTACTCCTAAAGAACCAGAGATGCCAATAGTGACGAAAAACACTGAAAATTATTCTTGGCGTTTTTTGCTGTACGCACTGTACTGTATGTTTTTCAATGTATTTAATAAAATTTGAGTTTAGGTCAAAAAGCTCATACAAATTTTAGCAACGTTATCTACCACATTTACTCAACTGAAAAATATAGTGCACAAGAAAAGATTTTCTTTAGTTCTGATAAAAAGCCTTCACATAAATTTAAATTATTTTTAAAAGCTTTTAGTAGAAGAGTAAAAACGAAGCGTATGGCTGAGCTAAAAAAGTTCAGTTTGTGAACGTTTAAAATGTTAGCTATTATAAACTGCAAATAAAACAATGCCTTTAGCTTTCAAGCATACGAATTCCTAAAAACTGTTGAATTCTAGAACCGAACAATTTGCTTATAAACTGTCTTTACTATAGATACCTGTGTGACCATCTCATATATGCTTTTATTATGAGAAAATATTGCATAGGTTCCTGAGGTTTTATTTTTGTCGTGGGTAAGCAGTTCCCATCTTTTTTTTATTTTTTCTCAAAGACAAAAGCTTTTGGGTTTTGTCGTCACCACTCTACGTATCTGTTTCTCTTTAGGAAATACTGCAGAACTGACTGTAACTTTCACATCATTAGTAAATAGACGTTCAATTATTCGATATTTTTCGCAAAAAAAAAAAAAAAAAAGAAAAAGAAATTTTATGTTTTATCACTGGGTCACAACTTTTGCAACAAAAGAAACTATCAAAAAAACTAAAATTTATGCCGTTCAGACCATTCAAGCCAGGTGCGCAAAGTTACTCATAGATTTATAAATCCGGGAAAAAAACTTTGCACAGCTACATTTTTCACTTATTTTCCGAGCGGAGCTGATGGAAAAAATCCCAGTTTCAAAATAAGAAAATTTGGTAAACATCTTTTAGACTTTGTCTCATGTTTTGATCGAAACGATCCGTGTTCAAATAAAGCTTGCTATAGTCTGGAATATGCTGGAACTGGTAGAGTTGACTGTTCAGATATCTGTGGATATTGTCTTGGTAGGGAGACGAAATTCGGAATATTCTCCTTTTTTTTTTAATTAACAGAGTAAGCTATCGACTTGTTAGTATACTTAGGCGGAAAAAAAAGAAGCGGAGAGCAAGTTTTCAAAAATCACCGCTTCCAAAATAAAACGTGAAGTTTTTGTAGTAGGTGGCAATAGAAATTAAGAATAAAACATTGCACATAACGAAATCTTTTTATAGAATATTCTTAAACAATGAGTGACATAGAATCTCTGTTTCTTTGGGTCTGCAGAATCGACCACTTCTTCAATTTTAGATTGTAAAAACGCAGCGTTAGATTGTGCACTGCGTGCCCAATATTGTGATGTTCCGACCTGTGCTCGGCGAATGAGCAAGGAATATGCCAAAACATGTGGATATTGCTTCAGTGGCGGTGATTAATTTTTATTCCTGTATCTTACAAAAAAAAAATATTCCTTTACGCATTCTCAATCTGTTATTCAGAAAATTAAGTAACCAGAAATTTATTGCTTTTGCAATTGCAAAAATTTGTAACTGCAGTTTAGGTCCGTACTTTTACGACAATTCCTTGCAATGTTTTGCAGTTAGATGCCCTGAATACGGTTTTACAGAACTTGATTATTGCCAAAGAACTTGTAAAATCTGCCGAATAAGTAACAAACAATTTTTTGCAAGATGCATTCTTTTTAGTAGGAAAGAAATATATCTTGATTTGGACAGCTTATTAGAACATCCAAAAAAGCTAGAGCATACAACAGATTTCATCTATTGACGAGATGCTGGTATCCTTCTGCCACTGATCAGGCAGTATGTTGTTCCAGGAACAACTATAGTGTCTGATAGTATCTGTCGTAACAGCTTTTTGACCTGAACTCAAATTTTGTTAAATACATTGAAAAACATACAGAACAGTGCGCAGCTGAAAACTGTGTGCTCATTTGTGTGCCAAAAAACAATAAGTACAAAACTGTGTGCCCTAGACTGACCGTCAAGAATGTCATAGCCAGACTGGAGAGCACACTGCGTTGTATATTTCATGAGAGTAGCTACCGTAATGGTTTTACGGTGCAGTTACGATTCTTACCGGTAATATTCAAGCGAACATTTTAAATAATAATTCTTCTCGAATTAAAATGTGTTTTAGCAGCGAAAAGAAGATGTTTCTTTGTGTTATAATTTCTTGGCTTGTTATGTATCTTCATAAAAATAAATAAAACCTCGACCTTTAATAGTCTGACAAAGAAGGTCCACAAAAACTGGCAATATTGGCATATTATTTAAATTTAAACATAACATACCCATCTTTTTAAGTTCTTTCCACTATTTCAGAAAGAAAAAAAGAAAAACTTATTGGTTTAACAGTAGACACGCTTAGAAATTTTTACATTTGTGTAACATTCGTATCTACATTTTCGTTAGAAGTTGGGGCGGTAAAGGTTTCTTTCTTGACAGAAGTTTGGAGCTTTTAACCATATTTGAGCATTCAAAAGTCTAAACAGTCGTGTACAAACTTTCAAGCATTGTTGCTGAGTCAAAAATTTTAGAAATTACAAAACAAACATTTGTATAAAGTCTGAAAACCTTGGTGTTTTTTTATCTTTTATTAAAATTTTTACTGAAATTCAAATTTTTTTCTCAGTTTGTAAACAGAACAGATGTTCACATAGCTAATGGTTTCAGTCATTTAAAAATTTTTATAGAAAATGCAAAACTGAGAAGTAGATCAGATGTTAGAAATAATACTTCAGAAGATGCAACTTGATAAAAAATTAAAGAAAACCGACAGAAAAAAGCAGATTGTAGTTTTTAAAGAGAGAATGTTCCAGCTAGACTGCAGACATTGTGCTTGGCTTTGTCTCGTTGCCTAAATTCAAAATTTATTCTTTTCCTACTAAAAAGCACGCATCTTGCAAAAAATTGTTTATTACTTCTTCTGCAGCGTTTACACCTCCTTCGACAATCATTGAGTTTCACAAAATCGTATTCAAAGCAATAATCATCAGAACATTTATGGTACGATGGCCACACGGTTTATTCAAGTTTATAAGCAAGCTCGCCAAATACAACCCGCCTTCATCCAAGTCGCCTCAATGTACAAAGAAATATGGTCTATTCAAACACAAGGGGACTAAGAGGGGCTTAGGAGCTCGAAGAGAACGAGATCCACTTCGGGTCTAGAATACCAGAAGAGGGGGAGCTGGTAAAGGCGAAAGTTGCCGAACTACTCAAAGGCGGGTTGGAATATGACGTCTATCATCACCAAGAGGTTTCTATATATTTTTTGCCGGCAGCATACCAGAAATTTACTTCACAAGGAAACATTATTGAAAGTGAGCGGGTGGCGGCCCTGGTTATTGGACCATATCATGGCACAGTCGTTAGAGAAGACGAATTATTTTTCCTAAGAGAGGAATGTAGCCGCCCCGGGGTAAAACTAGAGCTCGCTCAGATAAAACCTTCTCCAAACGCAATAAATTCTGGACTTCCGGAAAGAAGTTCCGGGTCGAAACTCAATGCCACAGGATGTGGCTGAATAGAAGCGGAATGGCGACAACAATTGTGGAGGGTGAGGTACAACAATCGAGGGACATAAGAGTAAGGACACAGATGAATGACAACGAAGTAATTCGTGCTTTTCTTTTTGTCCCTAGTTTATTTCGGAACATTCAAGGGGAGACATTGAAACTGGAGTTTTATCCTAACCGGATTTAATCGAAATTTCCATCATCAAGCAGAGGTACAGACATATAGAACTTTAAATATTATAGAACATTCTTACAGGAAGAAGGGTGTGAGAAGCGGTACATTAAAATGTCTCTTGGGCTGCCATACAACCGCGCAGGTTCCTAGCCCACTGTCAGTTGCCCCAAAGCTATTTCAGACTGCACAACTCGACGACTTCAAAATCTCAGTGAGTGTCAGCAGGATCAAGTACACGCTATCCTCGCCACGGACGATCGTCTCATATTCTCTTAAGCCCCCGCAGGAACGGGAATAACGCACACCATGGCGATATGTCTATGCGAGTTGGTCGCCCGAAATTTAGGAATCATCCTAGTGGCCGCAATCACCAATCGTGTGATCCAGAGTACTGCTTAAAAGGTCTTAATGCTAAAGCCAAACATTCCTTTTGGAGATGTAATCTTTCTGCAGGCACCACTTTCCGAAAAAATTTTTAATGGTTCTACGGAGGACTTGCGGACACGGTATCGAATTCCAAAAATTTTGGAACACTTTCAGGTGGTCGGAACTGCCAAGTTCTTTACAGACTTTGAGTTAGAATACACGAAAAGAAGGCTGAGGCACGATGATCAGGCGTATATGGAGGGTGGAGCGTGTCAACTAATGCTCCAGATTAAAACACCAAAAATAGTGTTCGACACCATCCAGCTGATTCTAAATCTCATCAGTCAGTCGGCGGACAAACATGATCTAGGAGATTTCAAGTTCCTCATAATAGAGAAATACATTAGTGAGAATACATTCCTACGCCTGGTATTAATGCTCCCTAACTTTGAAAAGATTTTCATTACAGGTGATAAATTCCAACTGCCGACGTATACGGGCAACTTACCGAGGGAAATTGTCCTGTATTGGCACAGGGCGGCAATTTATCGATTAGCCGTCAACGATCAAATTACATAATTCAGTTTGTGCGACAATTATCGAAGCCACTCTCGGTTAGTGCAAAGTGATATCCGAAGCAGCGTACGGTGGTCGGTTGAAACCAAAGCTCAGCCCTAGCCAACAAACTATGTGGCAGGACTTGCAGTTCCCATCCAGATACTGCCAAACACCGTTGCTCTTTATCCAAGTTACGGGACGGGAGTAACGCTCGTACACGTTCAACCTGCTTAACCAGGAGCATAATCAAGTGGCGCTGCGCCTCTAGCAATATTTAATTGCTAAACTGCTCGCAGCATTCATGGCCACTCTTTGTTATTACGAAGCATCCGTGACACATTTGAGAGAATGTAATCTTTTCATCCCCGCATATATTGTGGATCAATTTCAGGGCCAAGAAGCTGATCTGTTAATCCTTGTCACTACACGTTTAAGAAAAACGGAGCCTGCAACATCACAGCAACGTCGCTTCCTGCTCGACCCTCAACGAACGACGGTGGCCTTATCCAAAGCAAAAGAAGGGTCTTTTTATCATTGGGGGTCAAAGTCTCTTGCTTCGAAAGGACATCTGACGCCGGTACCTCACGAAATGCGACGTCACCTGCGAACTGGCCGAATTAAACACATGGCTGGAGAAGCACTTAGAAGGATAAAATTTGAACTGAGCGAGTTTGACTTGTTAGTTGTAATGTTTTTTTATTGCTTACCATTTATTTACTTAATTTACTTGCGTATTTTATAATGAGTAGCATTTATTGTTTTTCTAATCCTTTCTGTAAATCAGTTTTCCTTTCTGACTGCCTCTATGAATTTTATGTATTTTATTATTGGAGCTGAAGCACACCCACCATTCTAATAATAATTGCCACTCCTTTCTTGCCCCACATCTGAAAACTGTCCTACTTGGTCAATGCTTTTTGAAGTTCAATTCAACAGGTAAAGCGCTAAGTATGGGCCAAATATTAGCTCTCAGTTTAACAAAAAGGTTAGTCATAAAATTCATAAGATCTGCAGTGGTTGCCTCACTAGATTACGCGGAAGGCATCTGCCCAGTAGACAGAAGGTTACTGCTTAGTGCTAACAGTTTCTTGAAAGTTGAAAGAATATTATTCTTTTGCTGTGTTGCTAGAGGGTGGTGAAAAAGTCAGTGGTGAATTGAACGCCGTTTTTGCGAAAGGCGGTCTACAGAAGAATGGACAAAAAGACAGAGGAGACGCCTTGCCACTCTGTTCTCTCACACAACGAAGCTCTATTCCGATATATTTTAAAAAATTATTCGAAAAGTATCTTGGTGTTTCACATGCAAGGAGAAAGGTGTTACGAAAAACAGCACGTGATCAAGGTTTGTCTGGCACATTTCGCACAGCACCAAACTTTAATTTTAAGATCATGAATTGGAGCTTCTGAGAGGGCGGCGAAGGCTTGCCTTAAGCTTTCCTTTCCATGACTTTACTGCCAGTAGCGCTGCTTTATTCGTCCAACCGCTCAACATTCTTTCCTGCTCGGTCGGTAAACTCTATCGTTTAAAATAATAGTACTTTGGTGTTAAGGAGTCTGTGCGACGGTTTTATTGACTGTAGCTTTACTGATCTTGTTGTGGTTTCTGTTTTTTTTTTTTCCTTAGCGCTTTAAGTTATAAGTGCAGTTCCTTTGGACAACTACGTGTCTTCAGTTTTGTTTCACTATTGGCTGGTGTCAAATAGTTGTGCGCCTCTCGTGCCCTGTGTGACTGCGGTTCCTGTACACTCGGCGGTTTGGTTAACTAGTTCAAGTCGGATTCGCAATTTCCTAATTCCATCTTTTGGGGGTTGGTTCGGCTCATCGTTTGGGATTTCTAATTTTCTGCGTTTATCATTAAACGAGAAGAGGTGTATATAGATAGCGTTGGCGTTCGAAAAAGTGAAATATAGATGTGAGCAGGAGAGGTTTGGGATTGTGCTTCGTCAGCTAGCTTGAAGTTGGTAAAGAATATCCGCTTTCAGTATTCGCAGTTCTGCAAGAAAGAAAGAAAGAAAGCTGGTTGTGATATGAAGGATGATATGAGAGAAAAGATAAGGGAAAAATTTGGTTTCAAATGTTGTTTCAGGAGCCATGGAAGTAACAGGATGCGCTTGGAGGGCATTGTAAGTTTCGGTGATATTGGGTTTGATGAAAAACTGTGGTGTTTCCTATCACTACAGTCAGAGACTCATTGAAAACCAGCATAGAACATGCTCTTTTTCCACAGTCTTCGTCTTGTCTGTCGCCTTTGCAGTCATGATGAGAACTGCAACTTCGAGGAGTATTTATGCTGCTACTTTTCTGTCTGACTTGTAACCGGTTGCCGGTTGGACGTTTGCCAGTACCCTTCGCTTGGTTTTGTGACAGTGGCTCGTTGAATGTTGCTTATGGAAACAAAAACGTTTTGTGTGTGGTGTGCGTTGTGTTGTTGATTTTTTCTGAACGGGTTGGTTTTCGGTATAGAAAATCTCTTTTTGGTAGTTCTTTGCGTTGAAATGTTTTTGATAGGTTACTTTTCAAGTTTGGGTATATGATTTACTGGTTGGCTAATAAATACACTCATTTAGATTCGTTTTTCCTGGAATCATTCTGTTACTTTCAAAATCTGGTCTGCTCATTGCGGGCTCTCTATAAAGATGGGAATTGTAGTAAGCTCTGTTTTAATCAAAATTTTGTGTTATGAATTTGGTCTAAATGTTGAATTTTTTCAGGCGTGATTTATGCATATCTGTCTTTACTGATGGTTAAATGTTGAAGAATGAATTGCGATGAAGATGCACCAACAGATCAATCACCTCTGCAAGGATTTTTATGTCCGTTCTGCATTCAAGATTTAGGAGACGTTATTCGATTACAAGCGCATGTTCAAAATTGTCGCAAAGGTTTTCTGCATTCAGGAGAGTCTTTCAAAGGTATTGTCTGCGTGTCATTTTGATTCGTTTTTTCTTTACCTTTTTTTTGTTTAGTAGCAAAAGGTAATGTCTTGCTTTTAGCTCAGAAAAAAAATTTTTTTCTGACGGAAATTTGTTACTTGCTAGTGTTATTGCATAAGGAATCTTGGACATTATGTTACGTTGTGGATTTTGGAGTCTTACTGTTTTAGGATTTTTGGATAGAGCCAAGCAAAAAATCCTCAGATCAGAAAAGTCAACATTTTCGTCACTTTCCATTCCAGAAGCTACTGTTTCTGTTCCTGCTGTCGACGCTGGTCATGTTTCAGATAAGAGTGGAAATGCTTTGCAGCAGATTTCTGCACTTCACGTTCAAGAGGCAGGTACTGGCGTAGATTGCTTAACAGTTGTTGACTTTACTCATGTAGTACTGGAGTATATATTACAATTCATTTATGTAGGTTTGGTTGTTCAATTTTATCTGAATTTTTATGACTTCGGTCCAAAATTTCTTCGTTCAATGAAGCTTACCAGTGACTATCAAACTTGCCTACACAGTTTCTTTTATCAATCATTTCCAATTTTTATTTTATTAGGAAACTTGTATCTCGTGTCGTATCCAGATTAGTAATATCCTCGTAGTTTCTTGAAGTCAGTGTAGTTTTTGCTTTCTAAAACTCATTTTAATTGATCTTCTTTAGCTAGTCTTTCAAAACGCTTCGTTATGTCATTAATTCTTACTGTTTCAAGGTACTTCTCGAAGCCATAACAAATATTTTTTTGAATGCCGTGCCCTGAGTATCGATAAGACAACAGTTCAAACAAATAAACTCATAATGCGGCTTGATAAACTCATAAACCAAGGACCGATTGAAGGGCATGGTAGGAAGGGTTCGTTGACATCATTTCACATTACCTTGATGTCTTATTTTTGTTTTATGATAAACATTCGTGATTCATGGTCTGAAGATATTAATTTTTTAGATTTTGAGAAGGAAACCGTTTCTTGGCTGGCAGATAGTGAAGTAAAGAACTGTCAAATTTGTTGTGCCTCCTTTCATCATTTCTCACGTCGTAGGCACCATTGCCGTCTCTGTGGTTCTATAATGTGTGGCTCCTGCTCAGTATTTTTGACATTTTCTGAAGCACGTAAGATTTTTTCAATAATGCAGTTCACAGTTGGAGTTCTTTTTCAAACTGTAACTTTATTTTTCTTCATTCTATTTGAAAAACCTCTAAATTAGTCTTTTCATACTTTATGGACCACTGCTTTCCTATTATATGTTACCCTCAACATCCTCTTTTTTTTTCATTCCTTCAGCGTTTTTGAAATTTTTTACTTTCTGAGGAAGATAATGCTTTCAGTGAAGATATTACGCTTTTTTTTGTTAAGAGTAATCTACAGCAAACTTTCGTAAGCAAATCGTCAGATGATTGTAAGGTCACACTCGCTGTTCGCGTCAGGTCTAAATGATCTATTGAGGATTTTGCTTTGTAGGTTTATGATTGTGAAGCTAATTGCTTTGATTCTTTTCTATCTTACGCAAGAGTGCCATCTGTTCACTGCCTCAATTTTCTGAAGCGATAAAGTTTTCGTAAAGCACCGGTTGATGGGAAGTTGCTGTATCTTTAGAATAGTGGAGAAGTTTCTGAACTTTCTTCTCCGCGGAGGTTATTACATCACAAAAATCAGCTCTTTACACTATCTTAAGTGTCATAAGAATCTGTTTTCGAAGCACACTGGGTAAATTATCCTTTTTGAACTCTAAAATTGTGGTTTGCGTACGGAATAGTGGATTACTCTAGGTGCTTTGACAGTTTTTTAAGTTTTGATCTTTTCGATGTTTTAGTGACGGTTGCTTTTCGACCTTTACGTGCCTAAGAAACTGGCAAAAAATGCTTTTAAATTATATTTTTCCTTCAAGATTCAAGTCTCGGTACTTGCGAATCTGCTTGCTTGCAGTGTCATGACGGTTCTGTTTTTGGCTTACTAGTCGAATTGTTTGCAAGTTTCAGAAGTGAACTATGGGTTTTTATAAACACTAATTTCATTTCTTAGAACTTACCAGGTGAAGCTAGACTTAGGTAGTGAAATCAAACGAGAAACTCATAAGATAGCATTTTTGTACTTTTCTCTTTCCAAGGGATTTCCGGCTTTTTTTGATCTACGCTTGAGAGGCCGAAGAAGAGAAGTTAAAGTGAGATTTTTCAGGAATAATTTTAAGCGAAATTTTTCATAACTTTGAAAGTGTATTTCTAATGCAAAATTAAATACTATATATTTGTATATTAATTGATTTACTACTGGACATATGGTTGTACTCCATTTTGTTTGAGTCCATTATTAAAGCGAACATTTTTATTTGATTGAATGACAGCATTCTTCAGAACTACTTTTTCCTTTGTTAAAGCACCGTTATTTCTTTAGTTTTTTGGGGAGAAAGCATTTTTTTCAATGAATAATTGAAAAGACCATCTTTTTTTCTTTGTTTTATCTACGTTTATTAGGTTTTGGTACCTAACTTTTAAAAAACTTCCCTGTTTTTCCACTTTGCTGGTTCCAAAGTTGTTCATCATTTTGTTTGTCCACTCTTGTCAAAGGATCTGAAAAGTTATTTTTATAGTCTATCTTTTTTGGTAAATCACGTTTTTTATCGTTGTCCTTCGTTCGACTTCTTCAGCTGACCGGAAAAGGCTCGTTTCAGCTGCAAAAAGATCAAATTTCTTGATTTTGCCTCATGAGATTTTGTCTGTGAAAAAAGGTACATTTAAATTTTGTCTGAACAAACGCCTTAAAATAAAATGGACTCTACGAAGATACTCTTTTAACAAGAACAACTTCACACTTTGTAGGACTGAAAAACCAACTAGAAATATAACCTTGTAAGTCTTTTGCAGAGGCGCAGAACAAGATTTTTAATAGTGATTGGAGTTTACTGAAAGACAGGAAGACTATCGCGAAATCAGAACACAGTTTTTTTAAAATTTGTCTTTAGGGGTCTGCTGAACATAATTTTAGAAAAATAAAATTTTTTTGTAGGGTTTACTCCTAACAGTTTGATGTTTGGGAATTGGTAAATACATATGTTTGTATATTAAGCGTTGAAATTGGTCTTTCGATGCACTGGATTTAAATGAAAATTGGTGTCAGCTTTTCGTCTGGCGGTGACTCTATTGCTGAGCAAGTAAACTAATGAAATTTCAGCTTTGAATTGTTTGATGGGCTTTTTTCTTAACCTTTGTTCTGTATGAACTATGTTTTAACTTTACTGCTTCTCCTTTATGGGTCTGTATTAACTATCGTTTTTCCTTAATTTGTGTAATGAGCTTGGTCAGATAAGAGGGTCGTTAAAAAATAATTTCTCGTAGTGTTCCAAGAATTGTTTTAAGAATCAGTTTCTGCCTCTTTTCACTAACTGTGCTGCTTTGTTTCATTTCTGCTTTTCGTGCACTTCTGCTGTGATTTGGAAATCATGGCCGAGTTCAGCTGTTTTTGGAAGAAAGCGGAGGTGGTTGACTCAGTTTGAGTTTTTACTGATTTCTGTAGTTTATCCTTTCGCAAACAAAATTATTTCACGTAAAAAGCCGGGTATTATCGGAAAGTTAAAATCTACTTCTTTTCATTTCTGCATGAGTAACTGTAAAACAATTTAACATCAGAGAATTATTTATTTTATTTCATGAAGATATGTTTTCTTATGTCAAAAATTGTTAGCGGCTTTCATAATGTGATGAATTGGAATAATACTATAAGTTTTTTACTTTTTTTGAGGAAAGAGAGGTGCAGTAATCAAACACCATTTTTTTCTCATTCGAGTTCTTTGTACTAGATTTTTTTGGTTTGCAGTGGCTCAGTTCTTAGGCTTATGAGAAAAATAGGCGTCTTTATAACATCGTTAAAAGCGCCCTACGTTTATAATGGACCTCAAGGGTTACAAGTGCAAAGAGAAAATTAGAACTTAGTAGGGAACTGGAAAGTTACTTCTTCAAGTTTCACCTTTAACTCATTGAGTTATTATGCGTAGTAAAATTCAGTTTTTCTCAGTAACCAAACATTAGCTGGTGAAGTTTTTTCGAGGTCTTGAGGAAACTGTGTGCTACGATGCGTGTTAATTTTTAATGCGACGTTGATCAAGTAATCGTCGTGATTTAAGTGCTTAGCTCTCCGCGAGTTGGGCAGTAAATTTAATTGTTCTTTGTAGTTACTAGCTTTATTCTGTCATTGGTAATTTCATTGTTTCCTTTTCTTTTTATTTTTAGAAAGGTTAATTAACCCTGTTTACGGTGGATTGGGAGATGTGGACGGGGATAATAAGGATGAAAAGCAGTACATGGAAGATCAAATGCCGATGACTCACTCATTTGGGAACAACTTGAAGGATGTTTTAAAAAGTAAAAAGCTTTTATCCGTTCGCCAGACTGGCGAGAAATTGGTGCACATGACTTTTTCACGGCAGAAGAAAGTCGAAGGGAATGCGAGTGGTAAAAATGAGAAGGTAATCGTTTATTTTTTTTTCACTTACTTTTTTCTAATCTGTTGTAATATTTTTTTCCTTAATTGAGTGGACCTAGAAGTAAATGTCTCTCCTCCAATGAATTTATTCCATTAACGGGCATAAAAGCCGTACGGTCCATATTTCTTTTTTAGTGGAATAATGGCGAAAAGCTGCGGTTATGTGCATACTGTTTCAATTTTTTGGATAAGTGGAAAGAGAAAGTTGAACGAGTGGTTACTCCCCATCCTCTTGTACCTTTATATGAGGAGCTGTGCGCGTTGCTGCGTGAGGTTCACAGACTAGCCTTATCCTATTTACGTATGGCAGAATCTTTAGGGTACTTGTTTTTTATGTTTTGCTATTGAGACCTGAAATAATACTTTAAGGTGTACTGCCTTCTCCTGTAGCTATAGGTTCTTGGGCAATTTTACAAAAGAATAAATTTTTAGAAAAGGAGAAACGGTTTACACGTTGGATGTGGCTTCTCAATTACGACGGAAAATTAATTCCTTGCAGGCTCAAATTGATACTTTAAGGTAATTTTAAGCACTTTTTGTCTCTTTCTAGAAATAGATTTCTGATTAAAATTGTTAATAAGTTTGCTCTTCTTCGTTTACATAGTAGATGTTTGCAGTAGTAAAATTGAAATTCTTGGAGTAAATGATAACAACTCAAAAATGAGTCAACGTGAGCTGGACGTTCAGAAACAGATAAGATGTTTGGCAGTTCAGACTATACAGGTATCTTCCGCTTTTAGTATTTGTCGGCGATACCCACTATCTATTGAAAATGAATCTGTTAGAGGTATCATTCAGCGCAGCAGTGGAAAATTTTTTAGGAAGTTGTTTGGCAACTAGCTCCGCTACCCACTGAAGAAAAGTTTAAGGAGCTTCAGGAAAAACGACTCAATGAATGTTTGCAGCAGAATGAAATGGAGTACAAAAACCATGTGAGCTGTAAAATTTAATTCCACATAATTATTGTAGTTCTTGGTCCACACTATTCGCTTTTTACAATTGTAAAACTCAATTGCATCCATGAGTCGCATCATCCAAATCTCCGCTTATTTCTATCTTCTTTTAGTATTCTAATTCCTTGCCAGTTTTACCGTCGTTATCTGAAGTGATGACAGAGAAACCCCTAGTAACAATGGAAACTCCATTACTGGTGGAGACAGGACAAGGAAAAGAAGATCAGGGTTGGGTACCCGGTTTTGGCTTTCGCCAAAATCCGTTCAGTACTAGTCCTGAACAGATTGATCCTTTAGAGGAGCAGATCTTCAATATAAAAAAGTAATACTTACTTAACATTGTAAGCTGACTTTGGAGCTTTTTTCTACTTTATGCTTGCAAGTATTCTAGAAGGATTCGTTAAAAGTTGCTGCTAAATAGTATCTAAGGTCTATGCCACCCCATCCTTCATGCAAATTCTATGGTACATAAGAGACGTCTGTAACAAAAATTTGAAGAAAATTCCCTTGATTACTTGTGCAATATATTTCCCAAAAATGATGCTTCCGGTAGCTTTAAATTATCCAGTACAAACGATGCTCCAGGTAGGTATCTCAAGGAAAAGAAAAAGCTAGGCTGCAGTTGCATTGCTGCTTGGGAGGAGAGTGCTATGTACAACTACTGCTCACAGTGTGTTGTGATGCCGTCTTATTGGAATTGGTCATGATTTGTTTGTATGATGTAAGAAGAGTGAAGGAACACTTATTCTTAGATATATGTCGTGAGATCTTTATAGCTGATCATAGTGTAAACTACAAAACTTTCTAGGAAAGTCCACTTGTAGGTTATATAATGAGAGTTTGCTCCAATTAAAGTTTTTTTTTTTCAGTTTTCTGAACCAGGCGATAAAAGATGGGCGTCTGGAAGAAGTAAACATTTTGGAAAAAAATTTGAAAGATTTGCAAGACGAAATGGACAGGAGAAAAACTTTGTGTACAAACGAGGAAAATGGCTCACAAGGATAATTCACTGGTGATGTTTTAGACGTTTTTTTCTTTTTGAAGATCGCTCGGCAGTGTATGAATCAACGTCATGTTCTTTTAAAGTTTGGAAACACACGCACCCGTCCTTAAGTACCTTGACTCCTTAACTTCAGCTGTTAGAAACTGCGAACGACATTTATATTTATTTCGGAATCATTGACAAACACAAAAAGGGTCTCTGGCATTTTTACAGATTAAGGTACAATTTAGAAATGTGCAGTTATCAACTGGCAGTGTGGCTATCAAAAATTAACGATCAGTGGAGCCGTTATTGTTAACAAGGGGCTTTATAAAATAGTTTTCTATGGAAGACTTACAGAACAATAAGTCAAAAGAGAGGAACATTAAAGCTGAGGAGGGGTGTTGGGAAAGAGAATTTGTAATACGATGTGCTATTTCTGACGAGAGTTTGCCATTAATTCTTGGCTGATGTCTACATGATTTTCAAGAATTTTGCTGCAGTGCATTTTGCAAACTGTGCTGGAGGAGTAGGGGAAGGGGGCGTTGTGGTACCGAAAGCAAGAGGATGGGTTTCAATTTCAAGTATTTCTTAAGTTCAGATTATTTAGAATGGAGTCTCAGGGTATGGAGGCAATCTTACACCTCAGCTGCGAGTACGAAGACAATGGCTTAACTAATATTCTCATATCCTTCATCACTGTTGTAGTAATAACCATCAGAAAAGAATAAATCATCCTGACGAGAAAATTACCATTGGTGTACGACGCGTCAGACATGTTATTAGTACTTGGCTAGCCAATCCTTCCTTTTCTAGCTTGCGGGAGTGAACGCATCTGTAGCTGCTCGTACATCAACTAAAATTGCTTTTGGATTAAGTTACATACGATTTTTTTTGGACCCTCATTTTACAGTAATTAAGATTTCAGAACCAACAGGTATAGGATAAACAGAAAAGCAGAAATAAATAAGCGTTCCGTTTTGGTCATCACGGTGCTGTACCTGTTTAATTTCGTCAAGTTGTCGATCGTGACTTTTAATAATATTTAGAAGTGATTCTATCATGTCTTTCACATCACTCTTCTTTTCAGGCAGTTCAGTTTCCTGGTCGTCTTCCGCTAGCGACATTGCTTGCATTCGAGGGAACCAATCGTTATTTCGATCCTGAAGGTCGCTTTAACAGTTAAAACATAAATTCCCATTTGTAACAGCAAAGAAGTTCTTATGTAATGGGAAATGAATGACTAACTTTTATACACTGTGCAACGTAGCTCTCGGGACCTGTAAATTCCGTTTCATCTTTAATTTGTAACCATACAATAAAATACAGGTAGTGATACAAGTTGTGCTCGTTCTCGCGGTGCTGTTCAAAAGTCACTATCTTGTTGTCAAACCTAAAAAAAATTCTCATTCATGAATCCTGGGGCTTTTCACAGTTGAAGAGGAGAGAAATACTTACTCAGGGGGAGCGTTTAGGGCCTTTGCAGGCCGGTGAAATACGAATGACTTATGGCTCACCTTCCCCTCTCCAAACCGCATATGAAGCACGTGTTGCGTAAGATGTCATCTTTTTCATTTCTTTCTGTCCTTAGGTCCCCAAAAGTGTCAATGATCACACCAAAAACGAGGTTGAGGACAATAACAATAAGCACTATGAAGAATGACATATCATACATAATCCTCGGCATGAAAGACTCTTCCTGAAACGGTAAGCAGCTTTTGCCAAAATTTAATTCTGAATTTTGTAGAGTGGCATGCGTGCTTTGTTGTAAAGGTGACATTAAATTATTGAGCGGAGGGTACCACTGTGTACAAAAAGAAAGTGGGTCTTTCTTTTAAGAGTCCACGCTTACTCACCTTGGGTGGGACGTTCCTCAAAACGTCACCTATTCCTCCACCATTCCGCAGGCCCCAATTCAAAGTTGTTAGTATGCACATCCGTAGGGTTTGGCATGACCAGATTTTCCCATCGTCTTCTACAAGTTAAGAATGCATTAGTGCCTAGAATTGCACAGTTTTGTGCGACTGCACACTATGGAAAAATGCAAAAGCTTAAACCTTTTTCTTCATTTGAGGAAGGGACATCTAGTGCGAGACACGTGCCCTCTGCTCTGGTCATATTTTCTAGGAAGTTGCTAGAAATATTTTCGCATTGGACTGGAGTGACTCCTTTGGGAAGACTGTCTTCAGTCATCTGGTCAATGTTATCGATCTCAAGCTGGAAATCTGCAAAATGGTGAAATTATTGTTGGTACAAAAAGTGGGTAGATGATCTCAGCTTGAAATGGATATAGGGGTTAATGAAAGATTAAAAAGAACTTGCCTTTTTGGAAAAATAAGTAACCAACGATCGAAAACAGATAAACAAGTATTAGAGCCAGAAGTCCAGTCATGATAATAGATTGCCAGTTCCGGGTTACAGATCTTATCACACTACGAAGCGTCTCTTCGCTAGCAACAATGTCGAAAAGCTGAAGCGCAAAACATTGCCGTGACAAGTTCTGATGTATTAATCACTACTCATTCCATCATTCATTTTGAGCAAGAAGTTCTTGCTCTTTGACTGTGACAAATCTAGCTTCCGGATACTATTAATACATAAGCTATAATATTCTGTTTATTACACTTAACATTTTTGTTGACCTTCCCAAGAAGTGACGTTAAACAAGAGTAGCAAGGAAGATTCGATCACTTAGTACCCACACAGACTAATGCTATTATATATTAAACTGGTGTTTTAAATGCCATCTTTACAAAAGGACAGTAGGAAATCAAAGACCTAAACTTACCAGCAGTGAATAGAGGAGTGGATGACCAATTAATCCTAAAACGCACACGCTGAGATAGAGCAAGTGGTACCAAATATCTTTGTCCTCAACCCGCTCCATCCAAGTTTTATCTATTAAGCCGCGATTACCGACATAACTGATTAAGTGAACCACTTTATTAACCAACTGAAATTTAATAAACTGCTATAAAAAATATTACATTTATTCAATTACATATTTCTTAAACAAAGGAGACACTCCTAAACTCTAACCTATAACAGGTTTTGTGGACTGAAAATTTTGAAAAAATACACACCTGCAAAACGCCAACAATATAGAGAGTAGGTACAACACCAATAATGTTTATTAAAAGCATGGTAAAGCTGAACATTACTGCAGCTATACCCCAGTACGCCTCTGTCGTTCTTCCCAAAGACGCTCTGCAAAAGGTTTTTTAAATATTAAGTAATTTTATAATCCAACATCATAATTTCAAGAGTCAAATTACAAATTTACTTTTCATTCCACTGTGTATGAAGAAAGAGCATAGACGCCAAAGCAGAAGCGTACATAAAAGCACTCGATGACTTCTGCGTGATATCTAAGAACAGCTTGAGCAGTTAAGTTTTAATACGACATGATTTATAGCACCTTTGTAATCTTTATAACTTAAAACCATTGAGCATTCTTGTAATAGTGAAGGAAGGAATAAAAGCAGCAAAGAAATGTGAATATCACCTGAAGAGCCCTCGGTTGCGAATGGATAAAAGATAGCAATGAGAAAATTGACTAAAGCTGCAAAAAAGAAAGACAGCCTTGCCCATAAGAGGAGCCGTTTGGTACAGTTGCTCAAATATTTGCGATCTAAAAGTGATTTGACAAATAATCGAAAGGTTAGAGAATACAGTCTAGTATTTCCAGCAGTACCTCATTGCTACTTCATAATAAAGCGAACACAAAATCAGCGCAGTTTATACATATGGCCCCTAATGTCCATACACCATATGAAGTAAGAAATACAAAAACAAGCCTTGAAGCTTCTTCTGCCACTTCATTTCTTCGTATAACGTTGGCCACTGGTCAAAAAATTCAGTTATCTAGAAACCAAAATGACCATTTTCTTCAACAGAGTAAATTAGAATTAAAAAAGTGAGAACAGTGCGGAGGATATAATGAGGAAGCCAAGACATTATTGATAGACCTTTGACCCCTGCGCGTCTCGCTCTGTTTCCAGAAGCACGTTCTGCTTTGTTTCTGGAGTCAAATACTCGCATATTGTATGAATTGGAAATATCACCCTCTCCATTTTACGATCGCTACGTACAATCTGTAGGAAATTAATTTTAACAAATGAGTTGCAAAAATTACTTCGCATATATGATCTGACAAAAATATCAGAATACTATTAAGTTTTGTGACTTTTACCTCATTATGCTACAGCTATAATAAGATTTAAAAACCAAAGAAACAGAGAGAAATAGAAGGCTATACTTCGATTTGAGCGGTGTGCTTATTGTAATATGCAAGAGCTGTACGAGTCATCTGGTCTTTACAGTTTTCAGGGTCAAGCATTAATTTCAGTTCCTCGTCGTGACGAGACAATTGTGTTGCCAAGATAAAAATATTGTGACCAACCTATTCAATAAGAAGTTCAAAAAACTTTGAGAAAAACCTTTAAAGTGCTTTAAAAGTCACAGATGAAATATAACTGTGCCAAATTCAAAAACAAGTGGACAATTAAAATTGAAAAAAAAATGCACCTCTTGCGGATCCACCAAGGTTGAAGTGGATTCCTTCGGTTCATATTCGTCAGTACTAGTACTAGGTACACTAATTTCTGGAACTGTATTTGTACGTCGCCGACCTTCGCCGCTTGACGATGGCTGCAAATAGTTTTCATAACTGAATGAGAAAAATTGGTTATAGTAAAGTGGGAGTAACAAAGACTAGTAAATATTCTGGGTCTTCTCTTAAAAAATTTTCTTCTGATTCAAAATTCTACTTGAAAGTTCTTTTGGGAAAAGTACAAAGCAGGTTCCAGATAAATGCAAAAAAGGAAAACTGCAAATATTGGGATCGTGAAAGATTGGATATGCAAAGGTTAAAACAAACATTTCCCAACAACTGCCTTCTGACTTTCGAAACTGCAAAATTATGCGAACTTGCCATTTCGTATGCTACTTTTATCGCATGTACCTAAAACAACCCTATTAAGAATAATAGCAATGCTGCCAAAGAATCTTTCTCCTAAAGAAAAGCTTCTTGGAACTGACCAACTGCCGCGGCCCACTTGTCATATGACTCATATTCATGAGCACCCGTTCAGCATTATCAGCATCATGCCTTGACTCCATCACAGCCAACAAAAGTTTTGAGGCATCGCTCTGTATGATTTCATAAATCAATATTTCCTATATATCACACTGCGCCAGGAGAAAATCAAAATGTCAAAAAGAAAAAATCTTTCCAGGAAAAAAATACTTTTTAATTACAACCACTACCTTAATTTCAAGCGCCAGATCCATATGACTAATACACAGTGGTTTAATCTCATTTAATACTAAAGAAATTATCATATTTAATCCTGATTCGTGATTCCCAATAGCATTCTGTAAGAAACAATCAGGGCGAGTATGTCATACTTGCTTCATTATCGGTTTTAAAATGTTAAATTAAAATGTTTAAAAAACCTGGTTCTCATGACATGGTCCTTGACAGAACTCCGTTAAAGTTACCAAAGTTTGCTTTACTAACGAAAAGTTGTGCTCACCAAGTTCCCCAAAAACTCCAAGACTTCCTGAATAGGTGATATTACAAACGATTTAAATGCTGCGCTTCTCAAGTAAGCAGTAGAAGATAAGTTTTTTTTACAAAAATACCTTTAGTACTGCCACAAACCACATCCAGAAACATAAGTGTTTCATCTACTAAATTATAATTTTGTCTGCTGTTTTGATATCTTAAGAAATTCTGAAAAATAAACAGTTTTATTCCTTTTCACAGCTGTGCGCTTTAAAACAGAGAGAAGGAATTGAAAACATTTGGAAAATACGTTAAGGTGTATACCCTTGACTATAAGAAATCAAACCTGCAACAAAAGATTATGATTTTCACAAAGCAACTGAAGGAATCGCAATATTGGTTCGATAATTGCAACTTCAGCAGGTAAAATACCTTTGGGCCTAGGAAACAAAAGTGGATGCACATTTTCAGGAGCATTTGAACAAGCTACACTCACTTCTGAAAGAATAATAGTAAGAGCTGTAAAAGTCAACAGCAATCACCTTTCGTCTTCCTGATAGGGGCTTGGCTCATGCACACTACAACCCATTGGAAGACTGTCTGGAGGTAGGGTAGCTGAAATGTTTAGTTCCGATACGGAAGGTGCACGACTTTTCCTCTCTATATCCTCAGATGAAAAAACCGTGTCATCAGGCTGAGGTGTATTTATCGTTGATGCTGAAAATTCAGCATAAACTGTACCTTTTACTGATCAAAGCGAGAAGCATAGACAGAGGGAAAGAATTGTGTGCACTTTTTCAAAACCGAGATACCAGTCACAAATGTGTCCAGCAAAAGGAATTTGCGGGTCGAACACGACGAAGGGGAAAAACTTTCAAATTAAGAGAAAATATACGATGTACAGCAAAAGCAAGCAAGATTGAAGCCAATAGGGAAAAGTTTAATGTTAAGTTAAAGAAAATATAAGTGTTTTAACGAAAAAAACTAAACAACAGCAATAACTTTTTGTTTCTCGTAACCTTTGTATTATAAGAGTCAAACAAATAACCCTTAAAACTTCCTGGTAACTTCATACTTACAACACCCTATTTAACAAATGTGTTTCTGAACTTCTACAGTCACACCCACGAGTTACTAGTTATCTATTAGAAAAAAATAAGAAAGTGACAAATGCAAGCTTTCAGAAAATAAAAAACGACTGCTGAAGACCTATTTAAAGCAAAAAATAATTGTATTACGCTTGTAAACTTGTTAATATTCCTTGTCATAATAAACTCCTTTTTAATGCTTAATTAAGAACATCTATCTTTTATACAGTGCGAGCAATCCACAAACATGTGCAGATGCTTATTTTATAATCATCTATCTAAATGGCCTAGCACTACTCAAAAACTAAATCTTTTTTATTTAGCTGCTTGTAAGATTACCGAGAAATAAACAAATTAAAAAATTAGCAAGTTTCAGCAAATAAACCACTCGTAGAGAGCGACAAATAACGACACAACAAAAAAACAGGCATGAAAAAGATGTTGTGCAGGATCAGCATCAACACGCGCGTGCTGTAAAACTTACATCTCCGACTGATGGATGTTGAAAGGGCTGAAACTCATCAATCTAATACAGGAACAAAAAAAAATCAAGAAAAGAACGAAGCTTACAGTTTCGGTATGCAAGCTGTCAAAAATTATACACATTGCTTAAATATCATAAATCTTTAATGCTTGTAAAAGAAGAAAGCAAAGAATAGATCTTGCCAAAGGTTTATCAAAAAATGTAAAACCTGCCTAATCCGCGTTGCCGTGGATCACTACAGGCCATCATGTCACTCTTCAGCCTGTTCTGCGCCATTTGCAATTTTGTTTTTAAAGCGTTAAAGAATGGCTCAGAGACGTTACGTCGTTTCAAACGATTATAAAATGACATTTGAACCTGTAAAGGTGCAAATATACCAAATGTTCAAGGAAATGAAACAAATATTAAAGTCAAAACTAATCAAATTGAAATGTTATATACAACCAAAAAGGATACTTCGTTGTTGCCTTCGTGGAGTAACGCTTTTGCTAGCTGTATTGTCATAAAGAAAACTTCATGTGATGGTTCCTGGACAATAAGGTCAATAACAAGGTCTAGAAGTATGAACTAAAAGCAACTAGAATTGATATCTGCCACTCAACAACAAATTCGTGTAATCGCTCTTAGGCATCGGACCAAAACCTCAACTATATTTCAGCAATAAAAACTGATTAAAATTTTTCATCCACTTATATCATGAAAAAAGAAAGAATTCGAATAAAAAAATATACCGCTAGCTCCAGCATTATTCAGCTTGCACTGCACATCAAACAGCGAAGTTTCCCTCAGAGGTTTTAGCTCACCGTGCACAAGATTTGACTCTGTAATAAAAATATCGACGCAAAAAAGTAAGTTTCTTTATTGTACACTACTTTTATGTATAACTATCAAATAGAAGTGATTTCCGAATCAAACGAAATCAGAAAACAGATAGAGTTGAAACTCATACATTTAACAATTAAAGCTGTTAAAACCACCAAACTAAACGTTCAGTACTACCCCACAACGCGTGTAATTCCAGAGCCAAAAAAACCAAATTATGAATAATTCCTTTGTTAAAGTTTTCATGCTTTCCAACGTTCTTCAAGACCGTCTTTTTACTATTAACCAGATTTATAAAACAAGGTAGCAGTTTACAGACAAACAAAACCAATAAATTCTTTCTTTTTGTATAAAATATAAAGTCTCCTAATCCTTAATTTAAAGATATCCCACACTATTACAATGCTTGTCCTTTAATGCTAAACAATTGCTATTTTTAAATGTAATTACAGCTTATAAGATAGAAGTTTTTATACGACCAACTGGCTGCTGTCATCATTACTATTATTCCAGTACTTAAACTTTTATTTCCTGACGAACTGCAAAGAGGTGTAGCTCTGGGCATTGTTTTTCAGGAATAACTTTGTAATCTTCGTGAACTAATAAGAAAAGTAAATTTCATATATTTATGTCTTAAAATAAAAGTAAGGAAAAAAATATTTGCATTTTAATCTTACAATACTTTAGTGAAAACAGAAACTCTGCCAATAAGAGAAACGCTAAAATGCTGAGATAACCAAAGGTTTTGTACACTCTTACCTCAGCAAACGTATCTTAACCCGTGATATTATAAAGATACCGTCTTGACAATTTAACATGCTATAAAAAGTTACACTTCAAGAAATAAACCTCTTTAAAAGATTTAGGACAACCCATTTTGGCTTTTTACGTCTATTCTAATCTTTTGTCTAATTTTTCTAAGCAACCACCTCACCAGTCTTCCGAGATTCCGAAAGATAAACTTTCAAATACAGTTAAAATTGAGAGAATTTTAAACTGCTGTGAGCAAACAAATTTATAGGTCTTTACAGGCAACCGCCTTGGCAAAAACAACATTTTCTTTCGCACTTCAAAACCATCTTGACCTTGCTGTTAAGGTACTTTTGGAACACCCTCTTTTTGATTGCGTTAACCGATATGCAATAATTTTGCAACCGCCTAAAAAATCTCAGAGGCAAAAAAGGATACTTTATCCATCGGGTCTTAAGAAAGCCAACTTTGAACGAGATTCTTTCTCAGCGAAAAACACCTGTCCTTCGGCTGCTTGTACATATATATGACGTTAGATCATCCCTCCTACCAATGAATGAAACAAATTGACTTGCTGATTTTAGATTAGTAAAAAATGTTCCAAAAACAACTCTTACCTTCATCTGGATGTAAATCATCTTTTTCACTTTCCACCTTCAAAGGTCCACCATGAACAGCTTCACTACCAAAGTATCTTTCCAGCAACTGACGTCTAACTCTTCTTCCCTGAAAAAAACTAATTGTTAAAGTCTCACCGTTTACGGTACAGTTGAACACCCAATATAACACCACTGCTACTCCAGAAAAAGGCGTCATCTCAAAATAGAAGAACATGCATGAAGAAAAAAAAGATCTAGAGATTAAACCATACATATGCAAGTGGTTTAATGTAACAACGATTTGTAAAAAACTAGTACGAAGTCAAAACACGCTTATACTTGGGTAAGAATAATGCGATGCATATATGGTGAGTAAAAATAGAAAAAAATTGAATTATTGGTGAATGCAAGTGCGGATAAACAAGTTTTTTTGATCATAGAAAGTGCTGCCGACTCAAACAATACAAACACATAGTCATGCAGCTTACTGTGCAAGCATGCAATTGTCCTTGGCCGCAAACAAAGTCTTACTATCGCTATAATTACGGCGAATGTGGATAACACGACTGCTTTTTACCATTACAGACACTACGGTTACTACTGTTACTATATCAGATTAAAGTAGCGATTTACAGTGTTCACAATGTCCATCTCATTCGTTTTTTCAGAGCAGTCAAAGGAAAGGTTTGACCACCATGAAAATCACAACACTTCTCAAAAACAATAAGCAAAAATCACTACAGAAAAAACTAATTTTTCAGAACTCAGTTGTAAATGCGTTCGCCATCCATCAGGAGCGAAATATAATACTTGATTAACCAATTTTTTTTATTCTGGTAGTTTGGACGAATAGGCATAACAGATTATTTTGTCAGGAGACCCCACACCTTCTGCCTACAATTACATACAGTGCATTCATTTCCTCTTCTAACTCTGCTGCTATTACTTCTACTACTGCAACTATTATAGCTTACTACTCTCTTCGTACTATACTTCTATAAAGCCAGCAAATTCAACTTGAAACAGCCAAAATTTTGTATAAAAGTTCACCTTTATCAAGATTACTGGATGCTACTGATATTTTGAAAAGAAAACCACATTTATTACGTCCACCATACGTACGGTTATTTCTTACCTGTTCAATGACAGTTTTGGTAGACTTTCGTTGTTCGTAATGTAAACTGAGAAAATTCAGAAAAATAATTACAATCGCTCTGGAAATTCTTAATTTGTAGCCCCATTTTAAATGAGTATATATAAGTAAATTCCAACCGAAGAAACAACAAATAATACCTAGTAAAAAAACCAGAAACGTTCTGCTATAACACTGATTCTTCCCATCCGAATGCTCAAACTTGTACGTCAAAATAAATACGTTAAAATCCGAATAAGTTCCGCAGTATTATCCGATTAATTTTCCTTCCGTTTTCTCCCCCTTACAAAAAACTTTTGATTATTTTCTGCTCAAGAACTGTCAGCGTTTTCAAATAGAACGTTTTATACAAAATAAAAAGTCCTGTACAAATACTGCATCTTAGTAAAACGGACAGTGAACACTGTGTCTGATATGTAGTAAACCGAACTAGCAAACTTAGTTTCCAAACTTAGTTTTTTTTGAATACTGTATTATTATTGAAGATGTTAGTATTGGACGGAAAGGAAAGCTTCCTTCCCATCATATACTAGTATAACTATCACTAACTGACCGATTTACAGTGATTAGACGGAAGATCTGAGTGGTGAACGTTGTTGGAAACAATAGCGGTTTAAAGAATTCAGCATTAGCAGCGAGAAAGTCAGAGTTTATTAGTAGTAATAAAAGAAAAAACGAAAATTCCATACCCAGAAACCATGTTTTAACGCTAGTTCTATTGTGGTATTCTAAATGTGTTATTATTCCTTGAATAAGGTTTAGATAATACAACTAAACAAATAAGATAAAAATCTTTTAGAGTTCTGTTAAATTACAATATTTGGAGAAATATGAACCAATAGTGTTTAAGCTATCTTTTTAGGTAAAAGGATTCCATTTTTTTCATTTCCGATGGGGTAAAAAAACACTTGAGCAAACTTTTTTGCAAACTATTTCGTCTTTGTTTTGCTTCCTTATTGCTTGAACGAAGAAGCTTTAAAAAGTTAATAAACTAAATCTAAAATGTATTAGAAGTCGCTTTGTAGCTTTTTTTTAAAGTTACTTAGCCTGTTCCTATATATAAAAGAAAGAAACTGACTGCTTTACGTAGGCAATTCAAAAAAAGGTTCGTAAATAAAAGTGAAAGGAACCTGCTGATTGAAATTGTGTTTCGCGCTTGTTGCCATCCGGCACAACGTCTGTAAAACTCGGACGCATAATGACTCTTGCGAATGCTGCAGAAGGTGCTGACAGTGCTGTATCAACCTAGCGAGATTTAGCAGAATAAGATCAATTGCTTTTCAGACATTAAAATGAAGCACAAAAGTAATTGCTATCAGTGAAAAATTGTTTACTTTGCAACTACACCACCATTTTCACATTTCTCTCGTAATTCAGAACCGACAGGAAACAAACGTTCTGGCGTATGAAGAACATCAACAAGGACAGAAGCTTCGGCTGCTTGCAGCGGAAGAGCGAAAACTTTAAACTCGCCCACCATTGCCTAAATCTTTGCCGATGACCAGCTGATACTGTACAATTCAAACTACTACTAACCAACAGGCCAAAGGTAATTCCAAATATTAAACATTTTTTGAGATATTCATTTATCAAAGAAGATACTTGGTAACATGTCACAACGTTGGTATGATTTTCAATGGTTCTACTAAAATGTGGCATTGATAACTGTGCGCGATTTCTGATGTTTGCTTGATTTCTTTTGATGAAACGAGTAGAATGCGCAGCGGTCTGCCATCGTTGTTTTGCTGTTGCTGCAGCAGATACTGGATTCATTGGAGTATTGGATGAGAGAATAATTCCGTGTTCTTCGGCTGCAAAACGAATGGGAACAGTAATTAAGCTGATTTTGGAAAGCTCCAATTTTTTGTTTTTTGACCATGTATTGTCTCGTTTGCCATAACAGTAATTTATTTTGTGTCAATAGCAATCAAATTACCGCATTTGTGCAGTCGTTTAACACATTCGACCACTCGATACCAACTCTTTGCTGAATTGCTTTTCTTTCCCCATTCCATTTGCAAACGTGTCAAACTTTCGATAACTTTTGCCAAGGTGCTCCGATTTTGCTTCAGATATATCTTCTTTGAAAATGAAAAAATATTATAGTTTTTAAGAAAGTTATTATATTCTAAAATATTTTAAGGAATTCTGTGCGAGATAGATAACTATTGAAGAATTTATAGGACCATTGTTCTCATACCGACACATCCATCATTGGTTGGTCAGTAGGTGACTTTTCAAAGAACTTTATAAGCACTTCCGTGACAGTGTAACAAACATATTTTTCAAGGGCAGAACCAGGTAACAGACGGTGTGATTGAGCACCCAACTAAAAAAGTTCAAAAATCAAACAGTGTATAGTTAATGTTACTGTCATAAAAGTATCTCCACATCTGTTTGAGATATCTGTTTTTACTTCTTCCAATTTTTTTAAAACAAAAATGCTTCATTTTTCCAGTTCATTCATTTCTGATAAATCAAGAGTGTATAAGGGACTTTTTTTTGTTATTTCTGAATTGCATCGGCGTATTTGCATCAAAAATACTGCTAACCTTCTGAATATCCACCACAATATTACTTAATATTTGCTCTATAAAGTCAACGTTATAGACATCTTTCATTTCCGCATCTGTGTCGACGTAGCAATGCAACATAAATTGCAAGTAAACTTCTTTCACCTAAAGCAATACAGTTTGCAACTTAATTCTTGCAGCACAGTGTTTTTTAACGATACCTGTATTAAACATTTCGGTGATGTCATAACCCTAACGATATGATCCATCGGAATTTGTGAGGCACATTTTAGCTCGGTTGTACCATTTTTCCCCCTCGTACACATAGCTAATAACCTAAAATTCACACAACTCCCAAAAATAAAGATAAGCCATTTGTAGACAAAAATAAACACAAGTTATAATCATTACCTGACGAGTTCAATATGATATCGTAATGGATGATCAGCATTCAACTGTTCTGGAGGAGTTGTCTGCATCATTTGTACAAGTTGTTCGAAACTAGCACTATCAGAATAAAAAACACGAACTTCATCAGAAGAAGAGCAAATCTAGAATTATGTACTTGTCCAAATAAATGATTCCTATTTTTATTGAGAAAAAGAAGAGAAAAACAGCCTTCATTACATCACATATTCTTACCTCTAATGCTACCTTCTCCTGCGATGAACAAATCTCTTTACCAGAAACGCAAACAATACACTGCAAAAACTCCAAAAATATTGCACTTCTAGCCTTATGTTCTATCAGGCTGACCACATGTGCAATAAGCTCTTCAGACACAGTTTGAGAGAGCTCTCGGTTATTTTGATATATAGCAACCAATGTAGCTACTTCTTCGGCCTGTATATGAGAAGATAATAATAATTATAAAATAATATTTTGGTTGAAAACCATGAAGAAATGATAAATCAACAAATTTAGGTCCTTATGAGTAGCAAAATAAGATAGAGCAGTAGAGTGGTACTTACAGTGTTAACTCTTAAACACCCTTCTTTGGCGTCTTGTTCAATAGAAATATGTTTCTGCAGACGAATTTGGTTTTCCTTGTTGTTGCGACAAAAACTGCGCAAAAATTCATGACTAAGGGTTATTAGTTTTGGCATTTCCATGTCATTTTTCTACAAAATGTCAACATTAAATTATGTCGTTGAAAGAGCAAACGAAAAACTTTACCAAAACAAGATCTGATTCCTGTAAAAATTACCTTGTTGTATGGAACAGATAAGAAGTCTAACACATATTCGTGTACACGCATATTTCGAAGTAGCTGTTGATTCATTATGTCTGGCTTACCGTCCTTGAAGCACAAATTTTTCAAACGACACAATATCTAAAGAAAAAAATTACGAAAAAGGTTTAAGAATCACCAAGTGGCTTTGTCCAAATTATATACAGTTGAAAGAGAACAGCAGATATTTTTTACTAAATAGACCTCACGTATCAATGGATAGCCGACCAGAGGTGCTTTATCTGATAACTCATATAAGGCAGCTGCAGCACTTTCTCGATCTTCACCAATCATTAGCTTAAAATAATAGCATAAGCTTACGATTTAGCATAAACTTTAAACTGTCTCGTGGTAACAGCATAGAAAGAAGTTATAATCTTATTAATTCCACGTAGATTAATGCTATTAAACTGCAAAACAGAAGCACCTGATGTAAGAGTCGTATACAGTCATTTTTAGCCAGAAAATAATGCTTGTCAAGCTTCTCAACCAACGATGTAAAACTTTCATCATGTTGAAAACCACGCGGTGCACTCAAACCGTTATCGTGTAACTGCTGCGTTGTCGTTGTAGTTCGCCTAGAAGTTATGTCATTCTTAGTATTATTAGTATTGTTATTATTGCCATTACTATCATTATTATTGCTATTATTTTTACTATTATTGTTGTTACAACTATTACTATTACTATTACTTTTAGTATTACCATTACTATTACACTTACTATCATTATCACCGCTACTGTTACTGTTAATATTAATATTAATATTACTGTTACTATATATTTTTGGTCAGTTAATAGTAATGATGGTAAGAGTGGTAGCAATAGTGACAGTAACAGTAGAAGTAATTATAACAGTAAAAGAAAGGTAAAACTAATGGTAATATTAATAATAATAATAGTAATAATAGTTACAGTAGTGGTGATATTAATATTAATATTATTAACCAATCAAAGAAATATTGAAGTAATTTATTTTGTTCAGAGATTCAGCTGTTTAGTATACAGTCTACAGAACCTGAACTTTGTCGTACAGCAAGGCTTAAAGGAAAAACTAAAAGTATTCATGCATACTTTACAAAAATAATGTTTTTATTTCTTAAAACTCACTGGTAGGTGTCATCAGTAGTTGAACTTTTCCTACTTTCATCATAAACTCGTCCGTTTAATTCATTGATTTCATCAGATCGCAGTTTATCAGCATGTACCCAGAGTTCACTTTTTTCAGTAAGAATTTTCAGTATAAACAAATCCCTATCCACTTGCCTGTAGTTTTCAACATCATTGTTAGAAACCAACAGTTGCACCTAAAATAAAAAGCAGAATTCATTTTAAAGTTAAAATCCGCAACTGTAGAACATTCTCTTAATTTCTAAAAAAATAAACAGTAAAATATTGCTACTTGTTTTAATTGACAAGAAAATCTCAACCTGTTTAAGATCTTCGACCAGTTCTTGATATTGCGTGAAATGACGGAAAAGAACTTTCAGTGCAGTACTAGTGAGCTTGGAGTAGTCGCTCATAGTCATTTGTAAAAGTATACGTAGTAACTGTTGGCCTTCTTCTCCATCAAAATCAAGTTCCTCTTCGGACTTCTGGAAGATTTCTTTGTACAGCTCAGCCGCTTGTTTTTCTGACAGCTCTAAATACGGATACTAATCAGGTCTACAAGTAAGAACATAGCTGGATGCATTGCAAGGCGGAGGTTTTCTAATTTCTGAGCCATAGCAACTGGTTGTTACTGAATAAATGCTTTCATCTCTTTAAGACAAGAACAATCTGAATTGAAACTGTAAGGTAATTTTTGAGCGGTAGTAAAGATTGATAAAATAAATTAGTAACCTCCTATGTGTGCCGTCAGCTCACCAACTTCGTCACAAGGGAAATGACGTTTAAACCACGAAAGGGCAACTGTTATCCGGTAATCTCTCCTTACATCCATAATGAACTAAATATTAACATTGTAATCGCTATTCATATAGAATAAAAAGCGGTTTAGCACCTGTCTTGTATATAGGAGTAAGCTAAAACAGTAAAATTTGCTAACTTGCAATATTTCGACAACTATAAGTTTGGTTTGTAAAATCATTTCCTTGCTTTCTTTTGCTCTAACACCATCATCTGCGCTCAGTGATTCACTAGCCATCGAATGAGATGTTGGCAAACTTACTTTGTGCATTCGTCCGACACCGATAGCTAAGTAAGTGAAAGATTTTGTCATACTTCTTAATTTTATAAAGTATTAATTGAAAATTTGTTAAAGGTTTTAGATTTTTATTTTACTATGGAATTATGAATTTTACTACCCATCGTTGTCAAAAAAGTAGACAGTGTTTAGTCGAAGCAGTATGGATAGCAT